GATTTGCGGATGTGCGTTAGTTCAGGGTATGAGTGGATATGTCGGTGGATGGAGTTGGCGCCTAGAAGCTCAAGTTTTTATCCTGCTCAAACTTAGTTAGGGGGGATGTCGGGGAGCAACTTTAGGGATATTGAATTAGACAGGCAATGGTTAGAGCTGTAGAGGTTAATCCAGTATCATCTTACACCTTTAGTATTCATAGTGTTGGAGCGTCCGAATTCGACGACGAAAGAAGAAGTGATCTTAGTCCTTGAGGATATTTTAGGTAGGGTGTTTAGCATTGGCTGTATAGTAAGAGATAGGAGAAGGAGAAGAAGGAGGGAATTAGCAAGGAGGACGGATGGCTAACCAATTGCCATATAATGGGATGCCTCAGCAAGGTTACGGGGGCGTGAATCCTGGAGGGCCGGTCAACCAGCCCGGGGTAGTGATGTGCTACCTGTGGGGAAAAGTCGGGCACTATGCCCGGAATTGTTGGAGTGCAGGTAGAGGAAGACCCCAGTTTAATCAGCCCCCAACCCCTGGACCGACGCAGATCGACGAAGAAACGACGGAAACGAAGGAGTATTTCCGGAAGAAGATCCGCAAGCAGAAATTAGAAGAAGAAAGAATGGAGAAGGAGTTGGAGAATAGGAGGAAGAAAGAATAGGAAGAGAGGAGAGAAGCAGATAGGCTCAGAGAGACCGATGCTCGGGAAGCTCGACTGGAGGCGAGACTGATACGTTTGCTCTCGCAGCATACGAAGACCACAAACAGATTATCGTTACCGATCAAGAAGAAATCACCTACCACTGAAGCAAGAATGCTGAAGGAGATTACTAGCTATCTGGATGAATCGGAGGATGAGAGCGAGGAGGTGAAGCAAGAAGCGGGTAGATTGATTGATGCGATCGAGAAAAGAAAAGGTAAGAAGAGGAGGGAGAATGTGGAGGTGAAAGTATCAAGAGCGCCTCGGAGGGGGACTCAACCGGCGCGATTTTGGTTGATGATTTGGGTGATGAGATGCGTACTCCTCCGAGCAGTCGTGGTGCGAATGACATTTTGGATTTCGCTTTGGATCTTCACCGGAAGTTCTCATCCAAGAAGGTTCCGGAGCTTAAAGATTTGTGCAACTCCGAAGGCATTGAGTGGACGAAACGCGATACAGTCATCGGGAAACTCGTGAAGTGCCGAATGAAATTGGCCTATGAAGGTGACGTGGCTCATCTCTCATTGTTAGGGGAAAGGTGATTTGTGCAAGATGGACTACTCACGCCTACTCATGAGAATGATGAAGATGCGTGGGGTAAGGTATGTGGAGCGGCAGCAGAACTTGAATTTTGTTTGCGAAGATATGATTCTACGGTTGTTCCTGTTAGCGGTCCTGCAAGGGAATTTTCCTTGGGCTAGGAAATGGCTTGGTTGGATAGATGCAGATAATGGCAAGTTGACTATCATTGAGGCCAGAGTGTATGTAATCGTAAGTCCATGGTGCCGACACAATTATGTTGGTTGTACCATACGGAGTATTGGAATTAGGTGGCGAGAACATGTAAAACGAGCCACGGAGGGGGATCTAGGTATTGCTCCTAAGTTGCACGCATGATTAAGGGCATTTGGTTGGGAAAAATATTTAGTTGTCCCGATAGCTGCCAATGTCACGGATCCAGTCAGGATTGAAATAGTTCTGATTGGAAGATATTGTCCTGCTTTGAACACGCACGGAAGAGGGTTGGCAGGTAAGAAGAAGAGAAGGAGAGGCAAGCGGGAAAGGGGGAAGATGGGGAATTTTGAGAAACCTTGGAAGCTGATCACGTTCAACGGGAATGTGTCAATTATAGATACGATCAGATCGTTAAATGTCGGGCGACAATTGGTTTCGAGCGGCGGTGAAATGTGGGCAGATAAGTTGAAGATAGTGAAAATGAAAGTGAGTGAATGCGTGATCTCGGCAGAAGGGGTGAGAAGGAAGATCAGGGATGCAAGGCGGGAACTTCAGGAAGGCGGAGTTTTTGTAATGATACGGATATGGGTGATTTCGCCAAGCGTGGAACACAGGCGATACGTACTACGGGACCTGCTACGCCTTCCGTGGAGGATCAGGGAGGTCTATAAAAAGAGTTCGGCTGAGCTTCTCGCGTTGTACCGGACGGCGGGCCTCTTCGGGCATGTGAAGACGAGGAACGTTCTCAAGTGCAGATTATCGAAGGTTATTCGAGTACGATTCGGGATCGAAGTGAGACGGAAACCATACGTCAAGTTGCCTCTTGCTTCGAATGTGCCCAGTAGAGAGGTCCGCACCGTAGCAGCTTCCGCCCTTGGCAACAACATTGACGATCCGCTCTTAGCTTCGTTCGTGGCGCAACGGGTGAAGGTAGTATTCATAAAGAGAGTGTCTGTGGCTACGATTATGCACAATCAGTGGAAATGCGCTGAAGTCAGCTTGTGTTTTTGTACTTGTGCTTTCTATGATCTTCCTAGGAGTGGTGGGCACGTAAAGGTTAGGCTGGATGAGATTCCTGGTTTCTCATCCTTTCTAAAGAACTCTAGGAACGTCACATCGGGGCACGACTTGTCGGTTGAGCACCTGCAACAATGCATCAAGGTATCGTTGAAGACGTGGATTCGTGGATCGGAGGCTGGTCTGGATAAATCAGATTTACTCCAGTGTTTGACTAAGCGGGAATTCGAGTTATCTCCAGCTATGACGGCCCAGGAGCCTTCACGTTGGATTAAGACTCTCGAGAGATTGGTGAGAGTGTCGATCGATCGAAATCCAGGAGCGACTTTGCTGATCTGCCCGGTTTTGTATTCACATGCGTGCAAGATGACATTTAACTACAATCAATGTTTTGAACATGTGAACGGATCAGAATCTTAGATAATGACGAAGATGAAAGGTGAGTATAGGTGGATGGGTCTAGAAGAGGTGGCGATGTGGGGATCATGAGGGAAGATTGGGCAGGCCTATGTCCTTCCCAAAGACAAGGATTTAGGGAGGTGGAGGCCGATTTCTGCAGCAGTGCACGACCCAGCAAGGTTAGTTGGGTTGAGGATAGGACGAGCGATAAGATATTTGCTCCTTGGACTGAATGCGAATGCTCATTTTGATCCATGGACGTGTTGAGAGAAAGAACGGAGCAAATACAAGATTATATGAGGAAGAAAGGAGGTGAGGTGGTCGCAAGAAGTTACGACATAAAGGACATGTTCGCCAAGTTATCACACGAAGCAGTTCTCGAGGCGGTACGCTGGTTGATTGGGTATCATATCCGTTGGGGATTTTTGGGCGTGCAGGTAAGCCAGAGGGGAAGAATCTGTTCCATGACCAGAGTGAGAAGGAAGCACGAAGGCTTCGTACTTCTAACGTTGGGTATGATCGAACGAGGAGTGCCGTATAAGCTGGGCAACATGTACGTGCGCTGTGCGGGCGAGTACCTGAAGCAGCAGTTTGGCATCCCTATGGGACAGAGTTCTAGCCCGGCGTTAGCTTGCTTGGTGTGTGCGAAGGCAAAGAGTGACTTCATGTGCAGTCTGGGGAGGGATGCGAGTTTGGTGAAAGGAGTTCGAATGATCGACGATGTTTCGATCTTCGTTTCCTGCAAGTTGCGAGACGATGGTTCGATGGAGAAAGCATCGCAGATCATTAGATGGTTCGAGAATTGTTATCATCACAACTTGAAGTTAGTAAGAAAGGATGAAGGAAATAATTCGTTTGATTTCCTGGGCACTCGCCTCGTGGTATCAGTTGATCCCATAGAGGTGCACGTCTTCCCTCGTTCGAGGAACCAAAGCTCACTGTTGAAGGATGGATTGATTCGGGTACACTCCATGCAGGACTTCTCTTCATTCACAAGGAAGGCAACGAAGAAAGCAACTTTGTATGCGAGTTTTCTGAGGTTTCGTAGGCTTGGGACGTCTGAAGAAGTGGTGGTAGCGGCAATTACGACTACTGTTTTGGAAGCTCGGCTCCGGGATTACCCCCTGGACATCTCTCTCGGATCTCTAGCTAAGTTTGCTAGAGTGGTAGGCGGTTCCTGGGGAGATATCCTCTTCCGGGCATACCCCGGCCTCGACAGGATTTCGTGACCAGAAGGGTATTTTGTCTCTCTTTTTTTTTGTCCCCCTTTTTTGTGTCCCCTTTTCTCTTTTTTGGGGATTTTTCCTTCTTTATTATTTCTCATCATTATTATTTTTTCTGTCTCCGCTCTCCCCGTGGGGTTGCGGGCATTTGTTGTTCCTGGGTTTGAATCGACGACCAGTTTTCGGGCTTTTGCGACTAGCTGTATTCGATCTGTTGATCTGTTCTAGCAGGCGTACGTTTTGTACTTCTTTGGGACCGTAGTCTCGTGCTGTGGACCTTTTTTGTAGCCACTTGTTTTTGAACTATTGACCCTTCAGTAGGAGTTTTCGAGCTATGTTTCGGAAGTACCTTACGGTAGAAGCGTCTAGATGAGTGTGTAGACCTTGCGACACCTGTTTTGGTACTTACCTGTTGTGGCCTCCATGGCCTTCGAGACGTAGCACGCGGCACGGTTGACCTTGTATAAATATAGTAGGTACGTCTGTTTTCTCATCTTGCGCTAGGTAGCGAGACCCCTGATGAAGCCAGACAGGTGACCAGCAGAAACATGGTGTTGGGTACTTTCACCTGACATTGCTGCACTCATTGTTATATCTTTCGAATCATACCTGCGCTCGGTTCTTCTTTGTCTTGTCTTGAGTAGTATACCATTGTGTATGCTGCTTCTGTGTGTGTTTGAACATGTTTTTGTTTGAATGCATGACTGGTGTTCATTTCATTAGTCCGTGCACGAACCGAAGTAGCAATCATACTACAGATGTGTGAATGCGTTCTTCCCCATCGCTTCTATCGTTTTCTATTTTCTATCTTCGTCAATAGTATTGTCGACACTAGTAGACACTACCGTCAGTAGGACTCATCCGATAGTTTGCTACCTCGTTTTTTCTGTTTCGTTTTCTTGGTTATACGTATTCTTTCGATGGAGCGACCGCTGTGCCATTATTGTAGGCGCCCAGGCCATTTCACTCGCGACTGTCGCACGCGTATGAGAGATATGGATCAGCAAGCCAGACAGGCTGGCGGGAACCAAGCGTCTACGTCTGCATCAGCCCCGGGACCGTCGGCATCGGGTGCTATTGTTCCTTATCAAGCCCTGTCGAACGACGTGAGGAATGACCAAACACATGGAAGTAGTGGAGGTGGTTACAATGGAGGTTATGGAGGCAGATATGGAGGTTCTGGCGGGTATGGAAATTACCGACGACCGTGGTATTCGCAACCGAGTGATAAGAACGACAAGGTAGACAAGATGCGGAGTTGGATGTCTGAGGAGATCCAAGAAAGACAGCGATTGAAAAGGGAGAAGGAGGAATGCAAGAGGAAGGAGAAGGAGGATAAACGAAAGAAAGAGGCGGAAGGAAAGCGACTTGCTGAGATCAAGGACAAGGAGGATTTCAAGGCGAGCATCGGGAAGATGGTTGAGACGCGAATGCGTAGTGTGTGTGAGGAGGTATTAGGCATGAAGACGGTTCAAGGGGAACAACCTGCTATCGTTATGGCTGCCCAAATCAGAAGACGAGCTGATGTTGATAGTCAAAAGGCCTTGGAAACGGATGCGTTGCAATCGAAAGAAGAGGAAATTGCACGACTGAAGAAGGCGGTAGCTGACTTGCAGAGACTTTCATGTCAATCTCAGGTCACTCCACAAGAGCAAGAGTTGGCTGCTTTGCGGACGGACAACCAGCACCTGATCCAGGATGTCATTGCCCTGAAAGAGCAGTTCGGAGAGCTTGTTAAGGTAACCAAGCCGAGTGTGAATATGGCGGGTGGGGCTTCTGCACCTGCAAAAGAAAAAGGCAAAGCTATATGCACTCCCACTGCAGGTGACTATATCAAGCTATCTGACGCATACAGGAGATTAAGCGATGATAAGGATATGGCGGAGAGGGAGGTCCAAGCATTGAAAGAAAGGATTAACAGGATTGGGTCAACTTCGGGTACTCCTACAAGGGTGAAAAGGAAGAGGATTTCGCGGAAAAGCATCTCGCCGCCTTCGAATCTGCGTATCAGACTGAGTAAGGTTGCGAGTCCAGTTAAGATGGGGGAGAGAAAGCATGAGGATGTGAAGTTTGTTAAGCTGAAGAATGAAACACGAGAGGAATCGGATTTCAACAAAAGGGTGTGTACTGAACTGTCCAAGTTGAAGAAGAAGGAAATTGAGAAGTTGTGTGCTATAGAGAATTTGGAGTATGTTACTGTTAAGTCATCGGCGGCTGCTATCGCTGATGTCTACACGGATGGAGCTTTCAGGAAGGTAAGTGATAATACTGAAAAAAACGAGGATCTAAAGAGTCCGAGGATTTGGCTGGTAGTAGTGGAAAGGACGGTGATGAGGAGGACACGGATGGTGGTTGTTAGGATCTGTCACCGAGCGTCGGTCAACTAAGCAATCTGGCCTTAGCATGTAGAGATGCACGCGAGAATCCCAAATTACAGCGAGATTGCAGGATTGATGGTGTTTTTCGACTTACGATGATTTTTCTTATTCTTCTTCGGCAATTTCCTTGGTGTGATAAGCTTATCCCTTTTCAACGCTAGTTATTCTCGGTTGGTTACGACTTCACTTCGTGCCCTTGGCCTTTGGTTTATGTTCTGGTTTCCCCGTGGTGCAAGCACATGTATGTCGGCTGCTCTTCTCGATCATTGAATTATAGATGGAATGAGCATCTTTATCGATTGAACTCAGCATATAATGCTAATACGAGGAATCATCAGTTGTATAGGTAGTTGCGACGTGAAAGGGTCAGCAGATATGTGGCGATACCGATTGCTGTTACAGACTTAGAACAATTGCTCTGCATCGAATCTTATTTTATTCGTACGTTTAACCCTTTTTTGAATTCGACCTCAGCGCTAGGAAGAAGACGAGAGAGAAGAAAGAAGAGGCTTGGGAAGCATGAGAGGCAACGGGAAAAGAATAGTGGTGGGTTGAGAGATCGTCACGACATTACGGAAGTCAAGACCTTCGTTCAATTCTGTTATGAGGATGGTAGAGTATCCACTAGCCTTTGAGTTATTCTCGACAGATGTTTTCAATTGCATATATTATTGAAAAAGTGACGGTAAAATGTCTTGGTGGTGATGTGTTGACTGAGAAGTGGAAAGTTTTGAAGTGGTGTTATGAATCTTCCGTAGTACGGATTAGTGATAGGGTCGAACTCCTTAGACATTGTAGGAAGTTGCTGGTTTCTGGAGCTATTCTAACCTTTGAGGCTATCTCAAAATTCTGTTCGCGATTTAAAAAGTTAAAGAGTAGTCTGGTTAAGCTTCTGAGCAACCCTTCCGCATGTAGGAAACTTTATCTTGAGCCGCTGGATAGGCTTGTACGTTTTTACAATTGTGTCCGATGCTTCTCGAAGAAAGGAAGTCGAGCGAAACTTAGAGCGACTATAGCTCGGGTAATCAAGAGTAAGTTTTCCATTAGGATTATGATTAGACCTACTGTTAGGATTCCTTTTGAGTCCACTCTGTCCAAGAAACGACTTCGCGATGTTTGGCTTTCTACCGTACGACGATCTTCTATTCGGGAACCATTGAAGGCAATTGCTTGCAGGAAGTTGAGGATCGTCTGGTATAAGAACAGATCCGTTGGTGACCTTCTTCATAATTTTAGATTTTTTGCACGACTGCATGCATTTTATTGTGGTTGTCAACATCTGGATCTGCCGAGGAATGATGGGCATGTTTCGTTTAGGTTCAGTGAGGTAGAGTGGGTCCCGGGGTTTGCAAAAAACAGTAAAAACATTCTTTTCCCAGGTTTTGGAAGTAATCATGCTGCTCTCCGGAAATGTATACTTGACGGACTGAAGTGTGTCCAGGATGACACTAAAGTTTTATCTATTTCGGATGATGAACTGCGTAGTTGCTTCAATCGCCATGCAGGGCCGGGGACGATCACAGAAAATGGGTTGTCTCATGTTCAAGAGATTAAGAGGAGGCTAGAGGGTCTTGTCATATGCCCAATAGATCACAATTTGGGAGACTCATATGTGTGTTGTCCGACTATTTTCAAGCATGGCATGGAGACCTTGTTCATAAAAAATTCAGGGTTCACACCAGTTGATTTGGATGAGTCAAAGGTGATTGATGGCATATACCAGAGTTTTTCGACGGCTGGCCTGCAGCGACATGTTGCGTTTAATCGACAGGGCAAGGTTGGTAGGACATACTGTTTACCTAAGCATAAGAACACTGCGAAATGGCGGCGGATCTGTCCTTCCTTTTCGGATCCGTTAGTTCGACTTAGTCGGGTTATTTCTAAATCTGTTAATCTGTTGTTATGGAAGTTGCCTGAGGACTTGCATTTTAATCTGAGATGCCCCAGCGACATGATCGGTAGACTTGATTTTTTCAATCGCTCTATTAGCCATGACGAAGAGGTGGTCTCGTCCAGTTTTTACGTTAAGGAGATGTTTACTGTGTTGCCGTGTGCATCCATCATTAGAGCTGTGGAATGGCTGGTTAGTGTTTTTGAAGAGAATGATTATTCTGATGTTTTTGTGAAAAGAGGGGAAAATGTGCTACGATAGGCAGACGGAAAGAGGCTCCAACCGGTTACCGACAGATTAAGTTTTCTGTTCTATTGAGTATGGTAGCCTTTGACCTTGATAATACCTATGTGATGGCAATGGAGGCTTTGTTGCAGCAAAAAGTAGGTATACCCATGGGTAAGCCCTCTAGTCCTAGCCTTGCTTGTTTGTTATGTGCATTTAACGAGCATGAGTTCTTGGTTCATCTGGGTCGGGAGCGAAAATTCCTTTTCGGGGTGCGTTTTGTAGATGATGTATCAGTTTTTTCGAAGTATTTGAGAGGGTCACAATATGCAAGGATGATGGCAGTCAGTAGACTAGATAGGTTTAGGGAGTGTTACGATAAAAAATTGACAGTTGAACTTACCAGTGAATTTGATGCATGAGACTTTCTTGGGTGCGTCATCAAGGTGTTGTCTAATCCCTGTAAGGTTCTCTGCGCCGCAACTCATAAGAATGAGAGATTCATCATTGATCAGGGTATTGTTTTTCAGAACTTACAAGATTTCTCGTCTTACTCTGACAAACAGCAGAAGATGTCGGTCATTACTGCTTGCTTACATAGGGCAAAAACCCTTACAACGTTGCCAGGTGCAGAGGCCTGCTTTTTGTTCACGCTGAAAATGAAACTTCAAATCAGAGGGTTTCCGGACATTTACTTTGACCAGTGCCTGAGGAATTTTTCTGCCCGCATGAATAATTGCTGGGAGAATTGGGTATTATGTTTTACTAACTGGAAATCGGTCTTTTAATTGAGGTAAGGGCATGTGTTGCGGGCTTTTGTTGTTGTTCCTGGGTTTGAACCGACGACCAGTTTTTGGGCTTTGTGTTGCGGGCATTCGTTGTTCCTGGGTTTAAACCGACGACCAGTTTTTGGGCTTTTGCGACTAGCTGTATTCGATCTGTTGATCTGTTCTAGTGGGCGTACGTTTTGTACTTCTTTGGGATTGTAGCCACTTGTTTTTGAACTATTGACCCTTCAGTAGGAGTTTTCGAGCTATGTTTCGGAAGTACCTTACGGTAGAAGCGTCTAGATGAGTGT